GTCGTTTTTGGAGAATCGGGTTAGAGTTCTTAGGTGTGGAGAATTTGGAAAATTTTGCATGCATGATGAAATAGGGTGAGGGGAATGTTGAATTAGGATGATTAAATGTTGCATGAAGTGTTTGTTAAGTTGATTGAGCCTTGTTGGGAAAAATTTGGCATGATTTTGTGGTTTGAATTGAGAATTCCCACCAAGTGCAGTATAAGAAAAAAATAACCTGATACACTTGTGTTAGTGATGGTTGGAAGCCATCAAGACATGGTTTTGGTTCAATATTTTTATTTGGAAGAACCATGTCTCAATGAGATTTGTACGTGGTTGAGCTTAAATTGCTTGAAATTCGATATTGTGAAAAGCCTTCAAAGGCATATGACCTTAGTGGGATCTTAAGTGTGGGGGAATTCTTTTCTCCCCCAATGATTTGAGATTGATGAATGTTCCCATGTATGGTGTATGTCTTTGATGTTTTGCAAGATGGTTGATGCGAGTCATGAGTACATTCACCACCTGGTGAACCATGAGAAATACGACACCATGTTTGAGCAATGGAGGTACAGCGAGGCAGGACCTCACTGGGTGTTGAACCTGGAGATGTTCACCAGGTTCAGGTGCCGGGCATCAATGTCTGGGGTTCTCCTTCATCCCCAGTGGCGACACCTCCTGGCGGTTGACGAGCTCATTTATTGCAAGCTCTGTGTCGAGTTCTACTCCACCTTCTCCCATGTGATGCCGTCGAGCAATCGCAACTGGATGTACGTGGAGTTTGTACTGGGAAGTCAGAATCATGTGATGACTTATGATGGGTTCTCCCAGGCCATGGGGCTTGACTCCACGCACATGACCATGACGAAGAGGCAGTACACAGCTGAATTCTGCTACGATGAGGCCTTCCACGCCATCTGCCTTCCGGCGCACCAGAGGGAGGAACTTAAGGGCTCCAACATCAATGCAGTGAAGCTCCAGAAGCCTTGAAGGATCCTGCACACACTGTTCATGAAGTCGATCATCCATAGTCTGCCGTCGGGGCACATGATCACCAACAGAGGGTTGATAGCCCTCCATATCCTGAGCCGCCCAGCAGAGCCACTTACTCTGGGATCATTGGTGGCTACCACATTCGCTAGATGCTTGGGGCATGATCAAGTGGACAAGATGCACTTGGGGGGCATCATCACGAGGCTGGCCTGACCATTCGGGGTTGATATGACGGGATGCTCCATCATCGACTGGACCGAGCCATTCCCTGTGGAGACGCTTTACAACCTGAAATTGGTGCTCAAGGGAGAGCAAGGGATCGAGTACCTCGAGGGACTTTGACCATCGCCTGCTCTAAGGACACAGATCGGTCTTTCTCCAATGGAGCCTCATTTAGAGGTCCCTCCGCCAGAGCAGCCGGCTACTTAAGCTCCAGGTCGCCGTTGTCGTGTCGCAACACCACCACCATCATCACCAGGCGGAGCTGGTTCCTCATTCGGATTCCATTTGGTGGAACGAGTCACACACCTTGAGGAGGAGGTCATGGGGGTTAACACCCGCCTGGATCGCTCCACCAACCTTCTAGTGCAGATTGCCCGCAAGCAGGGTGTCCTGCCCGATGACGAGGAGGTGGACTGAGCCGGGACCAGCGAGAGGTAGTCGACAGAGTGAGACATGGGGCAGAGCTGATTTCTTTCGCCCCACTTCTCCACTTGAAACTCTAAACTCTTTTATTTTTCTTTTCTTTTGTGTGTGAACTAGTACATTTGTGAGCTTTTCTTCATTTTTATCGTGATGTGGAATATTGTTATGTGTAATAAACTTGCATCGAGTGAGAATGTCGCTCTCCCCCCTATTTTCCGCCATTGAGTGCAATGTCGAGGTTATGTGTGTGTGTGGGGGGGGGGAGGAGGGGTAGGTTATTATTGTCCTTGTGTTTGTGATTTATTTGGTTACTCTTTTATCACAATTGCCTTGCATAGAATTTTGTGAAATTGGAATAAACGATTGGGTGATTAGGTAGCCATGTGAGTTTGTGCCGATCGTCTTCTTCTTGTGTGCTTAGATCCCTCTTACCATGGCAAGCAACATTCACCGTTGTCACTAGTGAGTATGATGGAGTCATAGGATTAGTCCACGCCCAAAAGTTTATTGTCCCGAAATATCTTATCCCTAGTCAACCCCTTTGAGCGGTGTCACTTTTGGGGTCGTTCTAATGTTAGGAGCTTGTTGCATGTGAGCTTAATGGTGAGTGAACTCTATGCACGGTTAGTTGTGGTTGATGAGTAGTCTTGTCGAGACTTGTGTTGGTTTGTGAACAAGGTGAGCACTTTGCATTTGCACATTCTTGATGCATTCGAATGTCGTTTGTGGTGGATTCTGGTATTGCTTGTATCGGTTCATGTGTTAATGTCCAATAGCTATTGAGATTTGCCGCTATGAGCCCTTTGATATGTCCCCAAGTTATCTTGTTAGTTTGAGATATCGCCTTGCACGTTAGAAATATTGTTAAACAATGCTACTACATTGAAGTTTTCATACAAAAATGATTAATTACGATCGAACCTTGGTTTGAGCGTTAATGTATAAAACATATCTAAGAATTTAACTTTAATATTTTTTGGTTTCTTTTGTATTGTCTAATACTCCTAATAATTTCACTTTAACTTGACCTAGAGGAATACACGACGGCACAAAACTGACATTTCCCCTCCTACTTTACCGAGGTTAGGTCTTCCGAACCATAGTTCAACCGTGGTTGATGGTTTTATCGAAATTTTAATCAGGAGGGTATGTTTGATAATGTTTTTACAATAAAGAGGTATGTTTGATGTAAAAATAGTAGAATGATATATTTGATAAAATGAATAATAGAGGAGAACGTATTATATCAATAACTGTAACTTTTTCCATTGAATGGAAGAAAATACTCTCTCTCTCTCTCTCTTGTTTTTTTGAATTTCAAAACCTCTCCCATCTCTCTAGTTTCCAGCCCCATCTTCCAAAGGGCTGCCGCCGGCACCACCAAGTGACTGGCGGCGGCCCAAGCTTTTCTTAATGTTTTTTTTTTTGCATGTTCTTTGCCTTGTCCTTGTGCTTTTTCCAGCCTTTGGCTTCTCTTGCTCTTTCTGATTTTCCAGCCAGCGTTGACTTCTCCTGTCCTTAGTGGCTTTTGCTCGTTCCCTTGTGGAATCCTTCCTTTATCCTCTCTATTGGAGATGGGTTTGTTCTTGGTTTACTCGTTTGGTCCCGGCCTTGCTCTGTTTTGGACCCGGAAGATGCAGATTGGGGATTCTTTTGTTAGATTTGATGTGAAGGTTCTCCATTCTTGGTGCGTTCATCACTTTGGGTGATTGCATTCACCGTTCCCCCCTCCGTCGTCGTCACCGCTGATGGATCTTTGTATCCTTGCCGATGTTTTGGAATGGGTAACGTTGTCTCTTCCGGTTTCCGCTGCTGCTGATCCATGGTTTTCTGAGATGTGAGCTTCAACAAGGATTGATTTGGTTTGTGGTCGGGGGCTGTTGGTGGTGGCGTGGCGTTGTTCTCCTTTGAGTTGTTTTGAGTTTTGGTGGGTTGGATTTTGTTGTCCATGTGGCTTTCGTTGGGGTTTTTTTGTGGGTGTTTGTTGTCTTCCTTTTTTTCTTGATTTGGTGGGGTGCTCTCTGTTGGGTTCTTGGGTTGTGTTGGGAGTTCTGGTAGGTTGTTCTTGGGTGTTCTCTGCGTAGGTTCGTGCCTTTTTGTGAGATTTCAACCCTTTGTTGTGCTCTCCTCTGTTTTATCATGTTTTGTTCTGGCAGCGGTTTCCTTGGCCTTGCTTCAGCTTTGAGCAGTCTGGTTTTAGCCCTGTCCACCGTCATGTAATCTCAATTTGTGATTCACTGTGATGGGTCGTCTTCGAACAACTCCCAGGAGGCGGCATATGGTGTTGCTCTGTTCAATTGTCATGGTCAAGTCTGATTTGGATGAGCTGAAGTTTGCTTCTTGCCACTCGGATGAATGATGTTGCAAAGAGTGTTTGGATACTGTGTGATTTGGCTCATGAAAGAGATCTTCATTGCTTCGCTTGATCATGCTGTATTTTTCGCTTTCGTCTTTGAAGTTGTCCCTCTGGTTTCCAGATCTCATGATGTTTATCCCTCTTTATAACCGAATATTTCTGAAGTGCTATTTAAGCTGCCTTATTGTCAAAAAAAAAAATGGAAGAAAATAACAGTAGAAATGAAAATAAGCCAAGTTAATATATATATATATATATATGTTATTACTCGATGTAAATTTAAACAAATCTAAAATCCAACATACAAATACATTAAAAAAAACACCAAAAGTCGTTTGGATGGGGATTGTGGTGCAGGATCTTGCCACAATCTCTCATCTTCACGGGATTTGCCATAATCCTAAGTCTGGACCCTACTTCCGACTCCCTAATCGGCGCCTGCTGAACCAATGAGATTGAATTCGCTGACGTTCTATCTACTAGGGATTTTCTTTTTTGTTTGTCTCCATGGATTTCGAGATATTTTCTTGGTTCGTCGGTTGAGACGCTTCTATCTCATCTCCATATGGAAGTTTTGTCGAGCGTCTGTTTGTGAGAATTACTTTGTGATGGCGATCAGCCCTGTTTCCGTATCTTATGTGAGGACGCAAGAGAGTGGTGCAGACAGTGTTGTCGATGCCGGAGAATGGAAACAACGCTGGAGAATGACGATGAAACGTGAGACTAGTGCGGATGGACATGACATCGAAGGTCGCTGGAGATTCGCATGGAAGAACGATTGCAGGCTATCTGCGTTTTTACTTTTTAGTTGGGATTTCTGCGGAGATTGAGGAAGAGGGAGAATAAGATGAGGTCCATTTTTTCTTTTATAATTGAGGTCCAAATTCTACGTATAAAAAAAAAAACAAGTATATTGGTACAAATATCTCATTAAAATTATTTTGGATTTTTAAATAAGAGATTTGTGCTCAAGTTCCTCATAAATCTCTCAAACGAAAACTCCTCATCCCAACGAACCCCTAGATTACAATTGCTTTCGTAGTAACTTATCGACAGACTTCCCAATTTTCGAGAATATGATCTTATAAGTCTTTTCTGTGGGATGAACACCATCCCAAAAGATGTACTTTGAAATATTGGTACAAGTAGGAGCCAATGGGTTGCAAAGAATTCCAAACTCAACCGTGCCTGTCCCGCAACACGCTTTCTTCGTAATAGCAAACCCTGCCAAATTAACCCACCGAAGTAACTCAATCCCAACTCAAGGTTACTCTTTAACTAGCAAATCATGCATGTTAAAGAGACATTAGTTAACTCACCGTAATTTTCAGGATACCTAATCATATTGAACAGAGGATAGTAAACATCCACAAACACGATGCTCGAGTTAGGAAGACGAACGTCGTTGTTCAAGCGTTCAATTTCGTTGCTGAGTTTCTTGTTGTACATCATTGCTAGCTCGTTGGACTCATCGTTGCATTGCCTTCGTACCCCGCCGAACAACGTCCGGGATGCCGGGACACAACCCGTCACTATTGTACTTAGGTGGACGATATTGCGAACTCCGAGCCCGTACAACTGTCTGAGAGTTGCGGAAGCCTGACTGACGAGAAAAGACGAGTATGAAGCCATATCGGACTTCTTCTTCCTAAGGAAATAGGTAAGTCCGACGTCGTTGTTGCCCAATGATATCACATAAAGGCTGTTTTTGATGATGTCGTCGGATCTCTGCTCTCCCACTAGAGTTCTCAGTTTTTTCACATACTGTTTGAAGAGCTTGAGTTGATACGGAACGGGCAATGCCCCCTAAAATAGATATTTCAGCCACCTCTAAGTCAGAAATAACATATTGAAATATATATATTTTTGTAACCCATTTTACGGATCATTGTGTAATAAAAACATATTCTTCTTTTTTTTCTAATCCCAATGCATTCACATCATTCCTTAAATAATAAGGACATGTTACAAAGTTCTAAGATTCATCTGATATAATAATATAGTGATAGACAATATTTTATAGTTTTGATTTACAAAAAAAAAATATATTAACGATACCCTAAGTTTTGATACAAATTCTTCAATTTGTACCAATAATTTTCTATACAAATTTTTTTATGGTACAAACTAAAATTGAACCTTTAATATTAGGATAGAATTTCAGTTTGTACATAAATCTTTTTGTACAAATTACTTTATTATACGTTTTATGTTATTGTTCAAAATAAATTTGTTTTGTAAAATAAAGGTACAAATTCATTTATAATACAAACCGAACTTGTACCTTTTCCATTATAGTACAAATTTATTTTGTATCTCGGAACACAAATACTTTTAGAAAACAGTAGAAGAGTTCATAGGGGTAATGTGAACTTTTTTGTCCAAAGTGTAAGGAATCTATAAAACAGTTAGAAACAAATAGCAAGAAGTATAAGTAAAAAGTGGTTACTAATATTTTTGGTGTTTCTCGATCATAACCAGAGCCAGCAGAAGCAAAGCATACTCCTGTTACGAGATCTTCAACTCCAAGATTCGGATCAAGATAAGACGGTAAAAGATATTTAATTCCCAAAATTTCAACTGCACAAATAAACATACTAATATTAGCAATAATATAATATCGCGCACGTAAATGGTATATAAATTAAATAATTACCTACGAAGTCCGAAATGAGCCGTCCGTCTGAGGGCCTGCCGGTGGGTATTTTTCCCGGGAAATTCTTTCCGTAGGGAGGGAAGTTGAACTTAGACATAGTTACGATGTAGTTGTTGTTTCCAGTGTCAAGGATCGAGTCCCCCATTACAAAAACTGCCGGAATTCTACCAGTTGTTATGTTTTTGGGTGCCACGGCGGTTACCGAGACCGTTGTCCAGAACAATAGAGGACCAGTGGTTACAATAAACGGCAAGAGGAATAGGATGATCGGTTTTGCGCCAGAGCATGTGGAAGCCATGATCTTTTTTTTTCTATCTCTTAATATTTGTTCCTTCTCTGTTGGGTATATATATATATATATATATATATCTTTTTTTATATATGATAATGAATCGTATCCTTTAGCTATGAAGTTGGCCAGAAGCCATTTCAAATTACTATCACATAATTAACATGAATCTCACAGTTCTCAATTAATGAGATGGGTTACCAAGATGATGAAAGACAATAATTTGTTCAGAACCCGCTTGTCATACTTGACGTATGGACGTGGAAGAAAGGGTTATATCGGTCCGTACGTATTTTGGTCGCAATATGTACAGTCAGTGTTGCAAGCTTAATTATTAGGAACCGATTATAGATTTGATGTGTTTATTACGTGCAGAGATAGATCTTTCTCATGCAATTATGGTTTTCAATACAATTGGTGTGTTTATCTTTCTTAACATATTGGACTTTGCTAAGGTGTCTTGCTAGTCACTATGATTTGGACAAAATGGTCAACGTATTCATTGATATGATTGGCCAATTTGGACAAAATGTCGACCTCTTTACTTGAATGGTCGACCAAATTTACTATTTTTATTTTGTTATTTTCAATAAATGCTCGACCACTTTACAAGGAAACGGTATACCACTTCCATCAAATTGTTTACCTCTTTCACAAAGCGGTCCACCGCTTTTAATAGCCGATCGACCTAATCAATCATTGCTAGTGATATAATCATAAATAATTAGAGTCCAATAATAGATAAGCTTGCTAGTAATTAAGAGATTTAACATTTGTACAAAAGATGCAAGCATAGATGACAAATTTCTCGAGTGATTGTTCTCTCGTATATTTGAAAAATGTTCTGCATATTTATTTCTAATATTTGACTTACTTTATAAAGAATTTTATCTTTCCTTCAAATTTTAAGCTTGCTTGTTTTTATCCTATAATTGTCTTGTGATGGATCAACTTAGTTGTTATTGTTGTTATGAAAATGCTAAAAAAGTAGAGCATAATTGTTATACAATTGTGACATCTTCAACGTCCATATATCTCACGCCATCTTGCTTTTGTGGATTTTTATTCCATAAGTGTTAAAAAAAAGGTGTTGGTTCATTTTGTCTTGCCCTAAAATCTGTATATGGATATGGTTGCCGACAGGTGATAGGATGTTGCGTTATTACAAAAAATATGTATTGTTGGTCTCCTGCCGTCCATTATTTTCCTAATGTAAATATAAGGTAACTGTGTCATCTGGTCAACCATTCGCCGAAATCAGAGATCGTTCATTGAAAGAGGTATGTAACCCACTTTACAGAATCAGTAGGCTGTTTTGACAGAAGCAATCTACCTCCTCCAACAAGTGAGTGTAAGTTGAAGGTAAGTGTGTCATAGGTCGACTCATTGCTAGAAGCGCTAGACCGGTTGCCTCAAGTGGTAGACCTTACCACTTGGTGGAAGTGGTAGACCATTTTCTTGAAAAGTTGTTGACCAGTTGGTGGAAGAGGTTGACCACTTGAAGGTAAATTTGTCATCAGGTCGGCCCATTTTCGAAAGCGGAAAACCGGTTGACTCAAGTGGCGGACCACTTGGTTGAAGTGGTAGCCATTTTCTATGCAATTGGTTGACCATTTAGTGAAAAGGTCAACCACTTGAAGGTAAGTGTGTCTGTCATCAGGTCGACCCATTTTCGGAAGCAGTAGACCGGTTGACTCAAGTGGTAGACCACTTGGTGGAAGAGGTCAACCGTTTTCTCCAAGTTACTATAACTTACAAGTCACCATATGTTAGTAACTTGCAAATCACCTAATATATTTTATATTTACTATACATAATAGGTCGTAATCACGCTTTGTCGCGAAATGAACACCTATTGTGCTCTTTCGGTTGTTCATTTGATATTTGATTGTTTTTGTTGTGAGTATTTGTAATGATAGTTATTTATTCTTTCCTTTCAATTTTAATTTCGTCACTCATCTCTCTCACTCCTGCTATTTTATTTTAGGTGATGATTCTCTCTCTACCAAACTGAATACCACCAGCAAAAGAAATTGTCGATTTCACTTGTACTTTCTGTTACTATTCCTTAATGCACCGCCAATCTATGTTTTGGACATTGCTTGCTCAAGATGCTTGAGGATAAAAATAAGTTGGATGTTTTTGCATGGAGAGCGATAGAAGGAAGGCGGATGATGACGGGGTTACCGATGACCAACTAGGCCGCAAATTTTTTTTGTTGTTAATGATGATATATATTAAATATTTAGAAACAAAAAACAGGGCGGTACAACAACAGGACTACAACTGCCGCCAGCTCCATGCGCTGCTGCAACCGGACCTAAAGGTACAGGGAACAAAACAAAACAATCCCCAACCCCGGGTCACCAAGAGCCGAGTGTCCAGCAGCAGAGGAGATCAAAAAGAAGCAGAAGCAGATAAATCCTCCCTGACTAACAAACCAGAACTACATCACACTTCCATATATCAGTGAAGGGATATGAACATCAGAGTGAGAGGCAAACTCAACATCCGATCAGGGACCTGTAAAAAACTGCCATCTGCAGAGCTTGGTCATGGAACAAGAGTCACGATCTGTTGCAAATTGTCGGGAAACAGTCTAGTCCTCATTTCTTTGATCCACCTTTCCGCGATCTCTTCATCGCCTTTGCACAGAACACACCTGTTCGGGATGTGGAGACCTTTCTTCTTCAAGTTGTCGATGGTGAGAATTTTTTTGTGGTAGACCAGCCATAGGAAGATGCAAATCTTATTCGGTACGCTGCTTTGCCAAATCACTTTTGAGGGGAACTCTGGAGTTTCCACCGTTCTCGCAGCGGCTAAGTGGTCAAACGCCGAGTGCACGCTGAATCCATTTGTAGGAGACGGGATCCATCTTGGTCTTTCAGGACCTGCAAAATTTTTTTGAAAGGGGATAGAATGAAGTAAATCAAACAACCTCACCCGCTCACTTTCAGCCCCACCCCGAAGTGAATAAATCAATGGAATGTCCCATTGACAATTTCCCTCAGACAAAGACAGGTAATCAGCAATGGTGGAGTTCGGTGATTCGGCAGCAGCAAAGACTCTCGGGAATTCTTCCGCCAATCTGATGCCCTCGATCCAGGTATCAAACCAGAATGAAGTCCAGTACCCTTGACCATGTTCGATACACGTTAATTCCCAAAAAAGAGGCTGCAGTTTCGCGATCCTGCCCCAAACGCTACCCCCAACACTCCCCGATAACTTTCCCGAGAACCATTCTGACTGCTCATTAGGGAACTTAGCAACTATCATTTCCCTCCACCACGATCCTCTTTCAGTCGCAAATCTCCAATGCCATTTGAGTAGAAGAGCTCGATTATTCAGCTCCAAGTCTCGTATGCCCAAACCTCCCTTGTTCTTTGCAGTTTTGCAAAGCTCCCAAGAGACAAGATGAAGCTTCTCCCTTCCCCGTGTACCGGACCAGAGAAAGTCTCTTTCTATCTTCTCTAAAGAGTTGATGACGTTCTTGGGGATTAAGAACAAGGAACTGATGTAGTTACTCAGAGTTCCAAGCACCGCATTGATAAGCACGACTCTTCCTCCCAACGATAGAAATTTTCCTTTTCAGCCTTCTAATCTTGCTTGCGTCTTGATCACGACGTTGTTCCAGTGTGTATTCGGTGGAGACTGATATCCGAGAGGCAGACCCAAGTACGTTGTGGGCAAGAAAGCCCAATCACAACCAAAGATTTCCACCAGTCTTTCAATATTTGTTACCTCGCCCACCGGAAATATTCTCGATTTCGCAAGGTTTATTTGCAGAACGGTGATTGCTTGGAAACAGATTAGAGCAGCCAGCAAATTACGGACCTCGGTTTCGGATGCTTCACAAAATAAAATGGCATCATCCGCATATAGTAGGTGAGTTACCTCTCCGACGTTTCTTTCTTCGTTGATACAGAATTCCGTAACCATCCCTTCTTTCTTTATTTCACATAGAATGAACGAGAGAATATCCATACCAATGTTAAAGAGGAAGGGTGAGAGGGGATCGCCTTGTTTAACACCACGACTCATCCCAAAAAAATCGGTAGATTCTCCATTAACAAGGATGGAAAGTCTGGACCATGAAAATAATCCTTCAATCCATTTCCGAAACCTCCGATGTAAACCCAAATGTTCTAATGCTTTCAAAAATACTCTTCCAACTGATAGAGTCGAAAGCCTTTTCGATGTCCAGCTTGATTACCACACCCGGTTTTCCACTTCTTCTGCGGCTGTCGATTACTTCATTGGCAATAAGACAAGATTCATGGATCACTCTGCCCCTCTTTCCTGCAAACTGGTAATCAGAAATTAGAGTGCTCATGTGGGGCAAAAGACGGTTGAACAGAACCTTTGCAATGATTTTGTTCAAACTTCCAAGTAGGCTAATCGGACGGAAATCAGACACCAGTTCAAACGACTCCTTTTTAGGCAGGAGACAAATAAAGGCGTGCGTTGTCGATTGTGGAAGAGTGCCAGTAAGGAAGAACTCATCAAATGCCTTTAGTAAGTCTGTCTTGATGATACCCCAAGCTTTCTTATAAAACTCTATCGAGAATCCATCCGGCCCCGGGGCTTTACTCCCATTACACTGTTTAACTGCCTGCCAAACTTCCAATTCCGTGAAGGGCTTCACTAATTTTTCATTGTCCTCAGGTGAGAGCAAACACTCTCTGTAATTGGCTGGAAAAACTCTATCTTCCTCCACTTCCACAAACTTAGCTGAGAAATGGTTGTGGAAAGCACTTTTAATTTCATTCCCATCCTCTGATGCCCTGCCCTCAATCAGCAATCTCTTAATTTTATTTTTCCTTCTGTTAGCCTTAGCAACTCTGTGAAAGAATCCA